TGGTACATTCATTTTCTGACAAGAGCTGGTTCACCTGTTGCTTGAAGTTGACTACACCATCATTTATAAAAAATGTAAAAAAAATATCTGTGAGCAATAGCTGAAGACAAAGTTATTAAATGGATTAACAGATAGACTATTACACTGGATAGAGGGGGAAGCTTTACTACCTCTACTACCTGGTAGATAATGTTTTGAATTTTGGCCTTGTGTGTTTAGCTATTACATGGCCTTGGTTGCAACGTCATTATACCGAATACTATTTATCCCACATACCAAATTACTGAATTTCATGCTAATATCTGAAAACTGACCTTGCTTTTCTCCAGGAGACCCACCTATGCACCCTGAATGTTCGGAGACTCAAAAGAGGATAAGTTAGGCATGTGTTCCACCCAAATTTTAATTGTAAAGCAAGAGGGGTGGCAATTTTAATTCATAAAACATTGCTAAAAGGACCCACTTCTCTGCAGCAGTTGGAAACCAATCTCACTAAAAATTTTTACTTTAGTCTTATGCAACTACCACACTTCTTAAAGTGTGGTCCCCAACCTGATATCAACCGACCCAAAAGGCTTTATGCACCTGAGGCATTCTTTTTTTAACACAAGGCGTTTGCTTGACACATCTATTCACTAAGCTCAGAATCCCCCAAATTTGGCCTTTCATTGGACGCAGAAAAGGCATTTGATAAGGTAGAGTGGACATTCCTCTTTTTTCTTCTTGGAAAAAAGAGATTTAGTTTGTATTTTAGCTTCAGTCATTATTAATGATCTACACTCACCCTTCTTTCCTCAAAAAACCTGGCACAATGCTGTCTTCTACCCCCCCTTTTTTTGCTATTGCAATTGAACCTTTAGTTATCTGGCTTCTTGATGTGGAAGGGTTTGAGGGTCTTGAGAGGCAGGATTACCCATAAAGTATACCTATACATGTCTCTACTAGGGCAGTTTGGCCAAGAACACCTCACACACTTTTTCCCATTAAAAAAGTGAACAGTGGCTTTAAATACCTGGGCATAATCATTACTTAATAATTTCCTCATGTGTAAAAGGCACATTTTCTCCCATTATTAGAATCCTGAAAAGTTGGTCTCCTCCTTTCACCAGCCGACAAGATTTATCTCATAAACATAGTTGTCCTCCCTAAATGTTAATACCTCTTTCAAAACAGCCAAGAATTCATTACTAAAATTGACCAGACTATTTCTTCCTTTCTATGGGGAGACAAACCACTATGCAATACAACAGTGTATCTCCAATGGCTCAAGTCAGTGGTTGGTATAGCCCTTCTGAATATCCTAACTTTTATTAGGCATGAAATATTCAGAAGCTCCTATACGGGTCCAAATCAGAGAACACCCCTTTTGGGCCAAAATGGAGATGTCTTCCTCTCAGCAGTGTCCTTACTCCTTTGTATGTTCAGGCTTACCTGTTGTTTATGTCATTAGCTCTATGCCCACTGTTACAGACAATGTAAACATTTGGACACAATTCAGGAGACACTTCATTCTTGAAAGAAAATCTGTTCAGTCCCAAATATGCCATAATCAACTGTTAAAACTGTCATGCTTTGACCCCACCTACCATCTATTCTGCTACTTCCAGACTAGACATGTCACACTAAATCAGTTTCCAGAATTCTCAAGCCAGCCCACTTAATCTGAAATTTACTCAATTCTCTGTCTGAACCTCATCTCAGCTACAACAAAATAGACTCTATAAAACTGTTAATAGTCTCAAAGCAGCCTGGGAGCAGAATTGTCAAGAACACTATATCCTTCAATTTTACTAGCTAACATTGTGGTAATTTTGGTTATAGTTAT